ACTCTTTCGTGAGAGGGTGATAGTGTGTGGCGAACAACAAACGACAGTTGACAGACTCGACAAGATGACGGAATACCTGGATATAATTCGTGAAAAATTGAAACAAGAAAGTTTATCAAATATCAGAACCAACGAAGCAATTGAAATCAAGATTTTGCAACAAAAAGGAAGAAAGGGAAACTGCAAAGTTCATTAAAAATGCACCATTTCTACTACAGTCATGGAGCAAAAAGCAGTCTTATCAAATATATTAAATACACTGAAAAAAAAATCATCTTACAGCATATGCTATAGCATATCCATCGAAAGTACTTGTCCCGCGACCCAATTCATCGAGCAGAACGAGTGAACTCTGCGTAGCATTTTGCAGAACTGATGCCGTCTCTTTGCATTCAATCAAAAATGTACCTACAGAAAGAAGCTTTCTCTAATCACATAAATGAATTTCCATATTTTTTTATCACAAAAACACGCTGCACTACAGAAAACAGCTTTCCATAAGAATCCTCAGTCTAACATGAAACATGCTGCACCACTAGTAACACCCTGAGATGCAAGTATTTTAGAACTTCTATAAAAAAAACAACAAAGAGCAACATGTAAAAGATGAACCACAATAGACAGCTGATTGATGCGTTTCAAAGTATGAATAAGTGATTGGACAGACTGATTCATGTAATTACAACAAAAGTAAAAAGGGTATATACAGAATGCAACCTAGACTGTTAGCCTCTTAACTAGTATAGACTAATCAATTATCAACTCAACCATTCTTCAAGCACATTAATTTGCTTACACTGGCACATGCTACGTGTTTTTTACATGATTACGAATAGAGATATACAAATAAAGATTAAATTCCAACTCACTGTCACAGTCCTCTATAATATCACGTGTCAAGCCAATTATTTGATATATTTATATACAAAATTAACACACGTGTTACATGGTATTCATCCAATGATAAGTTTTTCCACAATAAAATTATTTGTAATGGCTATAAAATAAAAATCATCAAATTTATTTCAACTGTGAGGACAGTGATATTGTCTCGCACCAATATCACTGTTTATTTAAACAACTTACTCTCCCCAGTCATGATCCGATCCGTTGCACCCAGCCGAGTAAATATGATGTCCACGGTTGACAGAGTGCACTTTTCGCAAGGCACATAACAGCCTAGCTGCAGTACATACATCAACGTATAATCAAGAGTAAATAATCTTCGAAGCCAGGAAAACAGTAAGTGTAAAACAGCACCGTCTAGCCAGTTTTCAGCAACCAAAACAAACCTGAGCCAGGACTACAGCTAGACAAGTTGCGCGTAAAAGGGTGGACTTCCCACCCATATTTGGCCCTGTCAACAGTAATGCACCAGGAATATGACTACTTCCTTCTCCTCCAAGAAAGATGTCATTTGGCACAGGCAATACGCCACTCTCACCAAGGGCATAAGGATGCCAGACCCCTTTCATATGGAGCATTGGGCAGACCGACTCATTGATTGGGTGTCCAGATTTAGGATGAGGTATAATTACAGGTCTGGACATCGACCCATGAGCAAAATTTGAAGAAATAGCAAAGGATCTAAGTACATCAACACAGCTTATTGCATGTATCATTTGAGACCACTGAGTCGCCTTCTCAACAAACAACTCCATCAAGATTGAAAATGTTTCAGCCTCCGAGTCTGTAAGATTGTGGTCCTGAGTGACATGACAAAGGAAAGGACACTAATTATACTACGTCAGCCATATTATTTTGTAGAATGTACTGAAAAGGTTAAATGCAATTATGAAACCATCAAACTAAGGTGAGAGAGAGAGAGAGAGAGAGATAGTATATACATGATTTTCAGGTTTACATCTCTGAGGTTTCCATCCACAACACAGAGTTTATGCATGATCTCAAGTGAAACACAAACATTATCATTTTGAAAATAACATAATCTAGTCTCTGCATGTTATGCAGTTTCCAATGCATTACATCTAAGATTGAGGTCAAACCTGGTGATCTGGGAATTCGCTATCTACTGCTGCTTCAAATTGTCGTAGGGATATATCAAGCCCCTCGTTACCACTAAGCATAGGAAGGGATATAACTTTTGACAGTAAAGAGGTCATGATTTCATGCTTTTGCAATTCCACAAGCATTTGTATTCCGTATCGCAGACCTCTCACTAGTGACCCAAACACTTTTACCTGTGGACGACAAATGTTGTCTTTCATGATTCAGGGGATCTTTCTCTTATGTAAGTTTCAAGATATTAAATTAAACTGTCGCAGTTGTCACAAAATGGATGGATGAAACTAATATTTGGGGCTCTTATTTAAAAAACATACAAATATTTAAGAATTTTTAATAACAGGTAAAGGAAAGCTATTAATGGACAATAAAATCAAAAGTTACCAGTTTTGTGCATATGCTAAAACTTGCTTACACCTGACAATATATCACTACAAAAAAAAAAAGAAGAGTTCTCCTAGTGGTCTTAAAGACAAAAGTAATAAAAATAATAGTAAATCCTCTATCAAACATAGCAAAGAACAGAATAAAGACAAGTAGTTGGCATGCTACTGAAAGTCATTCTGTTCATTATAAGCTCATCTGCAGCTGCAGTGCATCTAACTAATGGGAACATGTCGAAATAAAGACTTCTTTAATAGAGTCGTCCTCGGATTTCAATATTAACCAGTACAGTACATCTGAAATGCATATACTCGTAGATAGAACTGAGACTAATCTGGTAACAGCAAATGAGCAAGTTAGATTAATGCTGTCTCGGATAAGAATTTAACAATAGGTAACGAGATACGACAAAACTTCCTCATGCCATTTTACACAGTAGAGAGAGAGAGAGAGAAGAGAGAGAGTGAGTAAGAGAGAGAGAGAGAGAGAGAGAGAGAGAGAGAGACTGAAACAACTAATTTTTAACCGCCTCATGTAAATTGGAAACCCAACAACTTGGTCAGACATGCTTCAAATACAACCGAGAACAGAAAAAAAACCTTACTCGCTGTTTCAATATTTTGTTGCCAATTGAAGGCAACAATAGCACGGAAGAAGACTGAAAGCTAGACTTAACACGTCCTAGCAATCTTTCCAGATCTGGTAGCTGA